ATGTGCTTGGCACACAGTGGCCAAGACCCACAAGTTTGCCCTTGTCAAACAAAGCTCTTGTAACAGATGAATATGTCCTGAATGGTCTGTCACATCACCACCAACTTTTTCCACAATCTGCATTGTTCAGTCCTAACTAACTATCTCTGATTCTACTGAGAGGGGATAAGTGAGGTATTGCCTCAGAGAGAGACTGTCCAATGTCTGATTCCTTCCATGAGATTATTTCCGCATATTGGATTGGTAGTGTGTCCATGTGTGTTGGGAGACGGAAGGGGACTCAGACAGGATATTCCCAAAAAGGGGATAAGGATGAGATAGTGAAGAGGATATGAAAAATTACTGCGACAGTAAAAGAAAAGTGAACTATTATTCACTACCTGAAGCGGAAGGGGAACAACCCAAACGATTAGTTAAGGATATGAGTTAGACAGAAAACACAGAGTCTAGAAGAAAACTTTCTAGATCTCAGTTAGGAAGAGAGATGTTAAGTTTCTCTTGGAGGGTGTTGTATCTACAGGTTTCGACACCTCGGAGGACTTACGGGGGAATCCGTAAGAACAACAATTCTGTTATCTCTGGATGTTATCTCTGGATAACAGGTCGGTAGAACTCCGACTCAACTTCCACCATGGCTTGACACCCACACGTAAGACAAGACCTAAGAAAGGAACAGATAAATCTGCCCCTTGTATCTATGCCTAAATTGTCCAAATCACACTCTAAAGTCTTCGAAAATGTGTGGGGCTGGGGAAAAAGGAGTCAGGGTTAGGAAGAAATGTTGTTTTCAAAGGTTTGGGGCGTGAGTGGCATGCTGTGAATGGACCATGAAAACAGAGAAACAGGATAGATAGATAAGATGCAAATCAACGGCCCATTCATCCGCTCATCGCACTTTTTTGTCTTTGCCATGGTTGGCCAGATAGGCAGGGACGCCCAAAAGCACCGTAATGCTCTATTCGGCATAGCTTTGGCCAAACTGGCCAAAGCACCGAGAGAGACCTCCGGAGGGTAACCCCGGAGGTTAGCTTCACACACCGTAAAGCCTATGGCTCCGTTGACCAGTTCCTTACTCGTTGCTTGGTTCCACAAGCGCTTGATTGTCGACGTCAGGACCGCCTTCTTAACCGATTTGGCTGAGTATGAGTCGTAATCTTGCAAGGTTTGAAACACCAGCTTTCCTGTCTCATACAAAGATTCGGTGTTCTTAGTCCTCGGTATAAAATGTAGTTGCAGAGGTTTGTTACAGATGAGCATATGTCCCCCTACGAAGTCACAAGCAACTTCGCAGTTATCCTTTCGGATAACCTCGAGGTTGCGGTCGTAGATCGATTCGAAATCCCCAAAAAAGGTGCCTGGGTTGCGTGCCGGATTCCCGGAGTTCGGGATCCCCACGACGATGGCAATATCATCCATGATGCGCCATCCTCCCAACAGCTTCCTGTCACAGCCCAGTCCTTGGATAAACCTCAGTTCAGCCATCGCGCATGTGATCGAGGCCAGAATCGAGCTAGTCGACTTTCCCATCGTGATACTGAAGATCTGTCTCACAAGCCCCTGTTCGCACCTAACCATCGCGTGTTGGAGGTCATACTTCACCCCTTCCATAATAGTTGTCAGTTTTAAGTTGACATAACCATCCATTCTCCTTCTATTGTCATTCAACACACAGATCTTCCCTCTCATCGACACCTGAACTTGCCTGCAGCCATTATCCTCGTATCTCCTGAGCAGTTGATTAACCGCTTGAATCACCGTTCCATGGGGAACGCGTGAGAACATCTCCTTTACGTCATAACATCTCCCGACCGCTCTGTCATAACCAGCCGATCTTAACCTCTGGGATGTTCCCTCCAATCTCTCCGTGAGATCGGTCACCGAGTTAAGGTAGAACGTGCTGTTGGCCGGCAATCTTTTTAGAAACAAGTGCAAGGCTCTGACTACCTCTTCTGAGCCAAAGCTGCAGGATCCGCCGGAGCCGGTGCAATTGGTCTCCACCGAGAGAGGTCCTTGTGCTTGGAGATCACGTAGGCTGTCCCAGGCGTCCATCACGCTTCCAAGGTCCGATCTTGTGAAACCCTTTCCTGTGAAACTCTTGTTTACACCCTTGTAGAATCTCCCCTTTTGCTTTCAAGGTCCCAATCCGCTCATAGTTAGGATTCCACGCGAAGATCTTCCCGAAGCTGTGTCTGTACAGAACCAGGCAGATCAACGTCGTGTCTCCCTGGTTCCTGTCAATCGGGGCTAGCACCAGTCCCGTAAATCTGGTACTCCAAGCTCTGACCTCCTCATCGGACCAAGTCATCATGCCTCGCTTCTATTCAATCAGCACTTCCGCTCGGTCGACCACAGGTACCACAACCTTCTTCAAATGCTTAACCGCCTCGTATATTGCCCTCGCGATCACGTTGATGTCCAACGCCTTCTTTGGTCGTGTGATGTTCTTTGAGTTTCGGACGAACGTAGGTACCTCTAAATCAGAGAACCTAACCTGTACGTGTCCATCTTGCTTCGGAAGGTCGAGATTGCTGCAAGGGCAGGGAAACTCGTCAACCGTCGCGAAGATCCTTTGGTTATGAATTAGCTCGGCTATGTTGCGATTCCTCAACCAGACAATGCGAATCCTAGTCCTGACGAAATCAGCCAGCGGCTTATCCTCAATCGCCTTCTCAATCGCCCGTTCTATTATCGCCCTGATACCCGTCTTTCGTATTCGCGAGTCAAAAAGTAGCCTCACATACACTTTCTTCCTAACACTAACTCAGGTTTTCCTCCCGATCACTCTATCAAGTTTAGTTCGTAACATGTGCTTTGTCGCCTTGTTTGAGAACAATCCCGCACTCTTATACAACCCTATCAACTTCTTAGTGGGGATTGCCAGTAACTGCGAGTCCGGTCTCGGTTGCCTGAGAAGAGCCACCAGCCACGTCTTGTTGCGTTCGGTCGTCGATTTAGACTTCCGTATATCCAAGAAACGTACTGTGCCTCTCAGCTGAAGTGCCTTCTTAGCTCCTCGAAGTCGGGTTGTGCGTCCCGATATTTCGAGCACTGAGTCCCTAAACCTTCTCACAATCTTCCGCCACCCATCCGACCAGCAGGAACCCCCCGAGAACCGAAGCACTCTCACACCCTTCCCGGCCTGATCTGTCAGCCATAATAACAACGAGGTAAAAGCCATATTCCAATACTCAAAGGTGATCGTCGTCCCGGTCTGTAGCTCCCTTGCTCTCCCTTTCCTCTCTCTCCTACCTCGTCTACTTCTCCCCTTGGACAGTTTCTCAGTCTTCCCCAACTCTCGACTGTTAAGGCTCGGGCTGAAGTCAGCAATAAGGTGTCTTTCGAAAGCGTAATCGTCGGTATCCCTAGTATGTCTGACTGGAATGACCACGTAGCGATCAACCCCAAACTTTCTAAGCCATCGGTATAAGTGCGGTGCTAAACCCAGGGAATTACATAACGCATTCCTACAGTGTTCCCTCCAACGCTGAATCATCAGTCTAATGGTGCAACCTACGTAAGTTTTCTTAGTCCAGGGGCTAACTACTGCATATACCACTCCGTCGGTTTCTAAGTTAAGCAGGTTACCCACGTCCTGCATCTTCGTGAGATACTTGCTCAACCATGGTATTTGACCCTGCATCGTAAGCATCAGTGTGGTGGTCGTGATCGCGCACTCGATCCTCCGACTTACCTCTCCAGTCACGTTCCATTCCCGTAGTGTTACCCTCCTCTGTAGCCAAAGACAGTGTGTCCCATAGCTCGGCGTTGGTCGGTGTCGCTAAACGTCATTCGGAGTCCTTCGCCGGTTGAACTGGTGCCGAACGTATGATGACCGGAACCTGCTTCGTAGCCGGTTTCTTCGTTGTCTTCGTAAACTCCTTCCGTGGTGACCCGGATGCCTTGGTCTTGTCGCCGGCCCTTTTGTTCTCCATGCACCGTTCCTCTTCGAAGCTATCATACGCGAGTTTCATTTGGTATCTGGCCAGTAGCTCGACCGCTTCAGGCTTCTTTGTATATTTGATCCCCTTCTTTTCACATAGTTTCTTCAACACATCCGCTTTCTTGGCAGAGTAAATCTTGTGCGCCGAGATGCAATACTCGATCAGTCCCTTCTGGGAGCATCCTGCCGTTAGACCCTTGTGCCCTCCCATCAAGGGAGTCACCGGTTCGGTCTCACGGTCCCCATCTTGCTCCTCGTGTTCAAGTCCGCCTTTGCATCCCTCCTTCCTTTGTCTCGAACTCTCACCTTTGTCGCACTTCCTCGGCATCGTCACCTCTGTGTGCGTCTTCCCCTTTCCCTTCAGTCTCCACGCCTTCCTCTTGTACTTCTTGGTTGGCTTCCTACCCGTGGAGTTGTGTCGTGCGACCCTTGCGCTGTCATCGGAGTCCGAGGTCGTGGTGTCGGTAGTCTCATCTTCCGAAAGGCTCTCGGTATCCGTCTCTTCGCTCGAGGTCTCCTTCCTCTTCTTGCCTCGCTCGTCTTTCCTATTCTTCGCGGACCTCTTCCTCCTAATAGTTGTCTTCTTCTTCTTCGTCTTCTTCCCGGATCCCTTGATAGTCGACCACGCCCTCTCCGCTTCCGCGTTATTCTTCCTCCATTCTTCTATCATCTCTGCTCATAGCTGCAACTTGAACTCCTCCGCTTTCCGAGCGAAATCTTGCGTTCTCCTAAGTTTTTCCTCCTCCCTCCTTTTCTTATCCTCCTCTAATCTTCGTCTCTCCTCTAGCTCTTGTCATTCTTTCGTGACTTGGCGAAAGTGTTCCTTCATCTCCTCTATTTCAGAATCCTCGTTCTGTGTCCCGTTATTCCTTCCTCTTCGAGCCCAACAGTCCCAGGCGATATGCCCGGGTTTTCCGCAATTGTAGCACACGTTATTTCCACCCCCCGGTCCTCCGCCCCCTCCTCCCATGTACCCGCCACCATTGCCATATCCTTGTCCATTCCCGACGTTCTGTCCGCTCCCCCCGGTACCTTGGTTGCCCCCCGCGGGGCCTTTCGTGAGGAACATCCCCGTACCAGCTGTCCACGCGGTTCCTCGTCCTCAATTGAATCTCTCCACCTAACCGCTCGCCGACTTCTGTAGCCTTGTGCGCTCAGACACGGCCCGTCACGATAGCGTGGTGAAGCACCGAACCGCTAGGCTTGTGCGTTCGGCCACGCTCCGTTACGATAACGCTCGGTAGGCTTATGCGCTTCGTTCCGATAACGTGGATTTCTAGCTATTGCTAGTGTAGTGCACATCATTCCGGTCTTCTCTTACACCTATTCTCTCCAGATCTCTATGATCTCACGATATTTAACCCTCCTCCGCGTCCTGAGTACTAATATCGTTGTCTCAATTTTGATCAGCAAACTCATAAGCGTATCGTACAATACTTCCCGCAAATGCTCTTCTGTTACGAAACCGATCACGAAATGCATTGGCTCCACCGTATTCCTAACGTAATCTTCTAATGCTTGTATCAGTCTTGTTCAAACGGTCATATGTCTTCTCGGTCTACCACATGTCCCACCGCATCTCACGCACGGTGACGACATTGCTTCAAAACCCGCTCCCACGAGAATCATACCAATGCCCAACAGTATTACCCCGATCCCGTAAAGAATGAGTTGAGTATCCCTTCCCCCCCTCTTCATCTCGTCGCCCCCGTATCGTTCTCACCTCACGCCATCTCCTATGAGCCCATCCCGTAACAAAACCGCAATTCGTACAACCCGACGGAGTTAGATCCGCCTCGAGTCTTGTGAATCCGATCTGTGAACGGAGGACCCCCACGTTTGGAATACGAGATTCCGGCCTCCGCGGTCATTCTGCGACGAATCCGACCCGAGATCCGGAGACATCCGAGTTCGGAGCTCCTATACTCGAAGTCGGAAAACGTTAACGCAGCCGCCGCCCAGCTCGTGCAAGCTAGCGGTTACTACGAGCCTACGAGTGGCGAACTGCGGCCAAACAGCTCGTGTGATCCAAGACGAAGTCATGCATAGCTTCAAAACATACACCGTGATAGTCCAAAATGGATGCAGTACTTCATGAAATCACAAAAGGAGCAACATGTGGATCCCTCGACCGGTTTCGCCCGTCCACTGCGCATCCTCAGAAGGGTGACTCTAGTGAGCCTTCGTGCTCGAAAAGGGAAGCTCCGACCTTGCTTCTCGAGCTATATAATCCGTGTCTGCAACCTGTGACCCTTTGCACCTACCATCTCCTATGAGCACCTATCTGAGTTTCAAGATCCCAGTATAGTAGTTTATCATACCCGTCTAACGTACGCACCCCTCATCCTGATCATAGTACGTCTGCACCGAAAACCAAAACTGCTAGTCGAAACAAAAATCGAATTCTGTTCCCCTGAATAGGATCGTCGTATGAGCCAAAAGCCCGAATGATGAGTCTCAAAGCCTTCCTATGGAAAAAAGGCCTTTGCGGGATCCGAAGGTCTACTCTCAAGAGTCAAAACTGGTCTCTGACAACTTCCTAACGAAGACCGGCATAGGAGCCGACAGTCAAAATGATGAAATTACAGAAATAACAAACCTATTGTAAGTCAGCCGCGGCATCCGAGAGTTCTACTTCAAAACAGGTGGGGCCGATCCGCACCCTCTCCAAATCCCGTCTAGATCCGCAGTCCATATCCCCGCCTAGTTCTAACTGAAGTCGGTCCCACAGGGATGTGCTAGATCTGTTCCGCGCGTTCGATTAGCAGGACCATAATCGAGCGTCGCGAGTCGCCGAAAACTGAGCCATGAAAACAGAGAAACAGGATAGATAGATAAGATACAAATCAACGGCCCATTCATCCGCTCATCTCGCTTTTCCGTCTTTCCCCTGGTTGGCCAGATAGGCTAGGGACGCCCAAAGGCACCGTAGTACTCTATTCGGCACAGCTTTGGCCAAACTGGCCAAAGCACCGAGAGAGAGAGAGAGAGAGAGAGAGAGAGAGAGAGAAAGAGAAA